TTTTTTTTTTTTGTCAGTCATAAGGCCTGAACTCTGGGCCTGGACACTACTCCTCAGCTTTTCAGCTCAAGGCTAGTGCTCTACCACTTGAGCCATAGCTCCACTTCCAGCTTTTTCTGCTTATGTGGTACTGAGGAATTGAACCCAGGGCCTCATATATGCAAAGCAAATACTCTACCACTGAGCCATCTTCCCAGCCCCACTTTTTGCTTTTTAGAGATTGATTGGAAATAAGAGTCTCATGTACTCCTCCTGCTTGGGCTGGCTCCAAACTGCAACCCTCAGATCTTAGCTTTCTGAGTAGCTAGGAATACAGGCATGCTCACTTAGCATCTTTACATTGAACCTTCTTTTTTTATTTCTTCTTTTTTTTGGGGGGTGTCAGGGTACTTGAACTCTGGGCCTGGGTACTGTTGCTGACTCTTCAGCTCAAGGCAAGTGCTCTACCACTAGAGCCACAGTACCACTTCAAGTTTTCTGGTGGTAACTATACTTTCCTGCCCAGGCTGGCTTTGAACCATGATCCTCATATCTCAGCCTCCTGAGTAGCTAGATTATAGGTGTGAGCCACTGGCACCTGGCTGAACCTTCTTTTTCTGGGCTTCTAGAGACCGTTTAGAAGGAGCTATTCGCTTACAAGAACAGGACATGGAAAAGTCACAACAGGTCCTGAGCACCTATGAGATCCTTGGGGAGGAGTTTGACAGGCTGGTAAAAGAGTATACCCAGCTCAAACAGGCAATGGAGAACAAACGCTGGGCCCTCCAAGAGTTCAACAAGGCCTGCAGCTGAGCTGAGCTAAGCTGAGTCCAGCCAAGTCAAGCCAGGAAGTATGGCTCCTACACAGTCACTACTGCCTTCTCTCCTTGCTAAGAACCACCACACTGAGGCTGCCTCCATTACAGCAGGATGTGAGAATACTTGCTTAAAACATCTGCTGTAATTTAGGCACCCTCTTGGTTTCTCTCCCTTGTTTACAATAACTGGATTTCTCCTGGGAATATAGCTATCTGCATACCATAGCTGCTTGTCTATGTCAGCCCTGTATTATATTGGATTAACTCCTAAATAAAGTGATAATATTATTTCTTAGGATTTGAGTCATTTTCTTGGGCAATGATGGAAATAGAACATCGAAGTCTGTGTGACTGATGGTTAAGGAGGGAGAACTCGGAAATAAAGACAGAGCTGAGTGCTGGTGGCTTACACCTGTAATCCTAGCTACTTAGGAGGCTGAGATCTGAGGAATATGGTTTGACACCAGCCCAGGCAGAAAAGTCCATGAGACTCTTATCTCCAATTAACCACACAGACACACACACACAAAAGAAAAAACCCACAAGTGGAGCTGTGGCTCAAGTGGTAGAGTGTTAGCTTTGAGTAAAAAAAGCTCAGGGACAGGGATCAAGCCCAGAGTTCAAGCTCCAGGACCAGCAAAAGAAGAAGAAGAAAGAGAAGAAGGAGGAGGAGGAGGAGAAGAGCCAGATCTATAGTACTTACACAGAAAGTAGGATATAGAAGTGCCAGACTGCCCTCATCTAGTTCTAGAGCTCTGTTCTGGGAGGGCAAAAGTGGATTAAGGCTGAGTTCATCTAGAAGAACTTGAATTGCCAGAGAAGTTCTAGGTGCTGAAAAAAAGCATGCACATAGCTCAGTTGTAGTAAAGCACACAACCACTTATGCTCCTGTGGTTTAAGAGGATTACATCCCTCCAAAAGCAGAGGGTGCAAAGAAATCACCCTGAGGTGCCAACCCCCACAGGCTGCTTTGCTGAGAATAGGGCAGTGTCTGGCTGGTTTTGGAACTGAGGACTGAGAACATAGAAGTCTTCTTATCTTTATTCAGAAGAACCCACTCAGCTTCCTGACTACTTTCTACAGAGACATTCTTCAGCTAGGGTCAAATAATGGTCTGGATTCACATGGGAAAAATTAAGGTCTTAATCTTGACATTCAATCTGTAAATTGTGCTGATAGCTAGGATTACAGGCATGAGCTACCAGCACCCAGTGGGCACTCTTATTTTTGTATTCAAATGCTGACCCCCTCAAATAAACCAATAAACTTTGGGGAAAAAAACGTATAGTCAATACTGCTTAGATTTATTGTGTTTGGTTTTTTTCAAACCTATAGGAAAGTTAAAAGACTAGTTAGGAAGGTCAGATAAGTTGATGTTACAGAAATGAACCCTAAGATATGTATTCAAATGTTTTTTTTTTCCTTTCAGGTGATTGTTTCTAACACATTTATAAGATTATTTCTTTGTTGCTTTGTATGTCCCTCCCCCATGGTATAACCCCTGCTTTCACTGTATTTGATGTTGGTATAATTTGTGGAGGGGAAGGGAAAAAACAAATCGTTTAAATAAGGATACAGGTGGATCCATTGCAACAATGAGATGTACAAGTCATTATGTGGAAAAACGAACTTTACAACTTTGGTGGGGGAGAGGATTGGGTGAGGGGGTGGGGGGAAGATGGGAAGGGATGGGAAGGGGAAACAAAGGAGGAGGCTACAATGCTTGATAAGAAATGTACTCATTGGGCTGGGAAGGTGGCTCAGTGGTACAGTGCTTGCCTTGCATGCATGAGGCCCTGGGTTCGATTCCTCAGCACCACATAAGCAGAAAAAAAAAGCCAGAAGGGCACTGTGGCTCAAGTGGTAGAGCGCTAGCCTTGAGCTGAAGAGCTGAGGGACAGTGCCCAGGCCCAGAGTTCAGGCCTCATGACCAGACCCCCCCCCTCCAAAAAAAAAAAAAAGAAATGGACAAGGAAAGCTTTCACAACTGATCAAAATCTCCTATTACTTCAATGGAGACACTAGGGAACTGGGAGTTAAATTAGATTTCTAACTGCCCGAGCAAACCAAAATTGCTTCTAAGATAGTAATTCTCACTCTGGCTCCCTTAACAGTAAGGGGCTGGATGTCATGCTATTTTTTTTCCTATTTCAAAAATCGTAAAGAAAACTGAGCTAGGCACCAGTGGCTCACATCTGTAATGCTAGCTACTCAAGAGGCTGAGATGTGTCAGCCTGGATAAGAAAGTTCATGAGACTTTTTTTTTTAAGCCAGTACTGAGGCTTGAACTCAGGGCATAGGCTCTGTCCCTGAACTCTGTGCTCAAGGCTAGCTAGCACTCTACTTGAGCCAGAGCGCCCTTTCTGGATCTTTCTGTTTATGTGGTACAGAGGAATCAAATCCAGGGATTCATGCATGCTAGGCAATCACTCTACCACTAAGCCACATCCCCAGCCCCTCCATGTGACTCTTACTTCCAATTAACCAGTAAAAACCAGAAGTAGAGCTGTGACTCAATTGGTAGAGTGCCAGCCTGGAGCAGACTGACTCAGGGACAGCACGTTGGCTATGTGTTCAACTTCAATATTGGTAAAAAGAAAGAAAGAGAGAAAGAATGAGAGGAAAGAAATGAGAAGAAAGGAAGAAAAGAAAGAAAATTGAGCATTTACCTTCAACAGTCTGTATGAACATGTTGTTGTTTTGTTTTTGTGGTACTGGGGATTGAACTCAAGGTTTCCTATTTGTCTGCTCTACCACTTGAGTCAGACCACCAACCTGCAAAAACTTCTTTTATATTGGCTTAAAACCCAAACCCTCAAAAGTATATATTGTAAAAAAGATTAAATCAAGCTTACCACACTGGCCCCTACCATATACCCCATTACCCCAGTCCACTTCCCCAAGTAATTAGACTGATTTGGTCTGTATAGTGTCATACTTTTCTATAAATATGCAACCATGTGCACAAACACTACTTTGTGTTCTTTTCAGATTATGGTTGCATCAGAGTTTCACCATTCCAGCCAAGATAGATAATTTAGATTGTTTCCAGTTTGCTCGATTCCCTATATATCCTGTATATCCTGCTATAAAAATTGCCTTTGCTTTTTTTTTTTTTTTGGCCAGTCCTAGGGCTTGAACTCAGGACCTGGGTACTGTCCCTAAGCTTTTTTTTTTGGGGGGGGGTCCAGTCATGGGCCTGAACTCTGGCCTGGGCGCTGTCACTCAGCTCTTCAGCTCAAGGCTAGCACTCTACCACTTGAGCCACAGCGCCACTTCCGGCTTTTTCCTTTTTGCTTATGTGGTGCTGAGGAATTGAACCCAGAGCCTCATGCATGCAAGGCAAGCACTCTACCACTGAGACACCTTCCCAGCCCCTGTCCCTAAGCTTTTTTGCTTGAGGTGGCACTCTACTTCTTGGGCCATAGCTCTATTTCTGGCTTTTAGAGTCTCATAGCTTTCCTACCTGGACTGGCTTCAAACTGTCATCCTCAAATTTCAGCCTCCTGAGTAGCTAGTATTACAGGTGTGAACCACTGGCACCTGTTTATGTCTTTGCTTTTTGCTGATATTATATAGTTAGTCTTTTAATTCCTATGTTCGTAATTTCATTGAAAAATAAATCACTGAGTTTATGAATGTAGTTTGGCAGTAAGTCTTTCAAAGAAGTTCATGGGAGGGGAAAACAAAAGCATATCCAGGGCCACCTGTAGGAAGCATTAGGACACATTTTCTTGGTCCTTTCATTTCTCGCTCCAATTAGATGTAGAAGTTTTACAGGTGCTCATCCTATGTTAGTCTCTTTTTTTCTTGTGTGTGTGCCAGCCTTGAGGCTTGAATTCTGGGCCTCAGCACTGTCGCTGAGCTTCTTTTTTCTCAAGGCCAACACTAACACCACAGCCCCCTGAGTTCCTAGGATTATAGATATGAGCCACCGCACCAGCCCATGTTCAGTTTTCTTCTTTCTTTCTTTCTCTTTCTTCCTTTTTTCTTTTCTTTTTGTGCCCCACTGCTGTCCCTTAGTCTTTTCATTCAAGGCTAGTGCTTTACCACTTGAGCCACGCCAAACCTTAATATTTTTTTGCCAGACCTGAGGCTTGAACTCAGGGCCTGAGTACTGTCTCTGAGCTTCTTTTTGCTCAAGACTAGTGCTCTATCACTTGAGCTACAACGCCACTTCCAGTTTTTTCTGTGTATGTGGTACTGTGGAATTGAATCCAGGGCTTCATGCATGATAGGCAAGCTCTCTATCACCAAGCCATATTCCCAGTTGTTGTTTCTTTCTCTTCTTCTTCTTCTTCCTTCTCTTCCTCCTTCTTTTCTTCCTTTCTTCCTTTTTCCTACTCCTCTTTTTTTTTTTTTGCCAGTCCTGGGGTTTGAACTCTGGGTTTGGGTGCTGTCCCTCAGCCTCTCTGTGCTCAAGGCTAGCACTCTACCACTTGAGCCACAGTTCCACTTCTGGCTTTTTCTGATTAATTTATTGGAAAGAAGAGTCTGAGGGATTTTACTGCCTGGGCTGGCTTCCAACTGCAGTCCTTAGGTCTTAGCCTCCTAAATAGCTAATATTACAGGTGTGATCCACCAGAGCCTTTTCTTGCTTGCTTGCTTGCTTGCTTGCTTGCTTTCCTTTTCTTTCTTTCTTCTCCTGCTCCTTACATCCTCCTCCTCCTCTTCTACCTTCTCCTCCTCCTTAGTGGGGCTTGAACTCAGGGTCTGGGTGCTATTCCTGAGCCTTTTCATTCAAGGCTAGCTCTCTACTACTACTTGAGCCACACCTCCATCTTTTTAGTGGTTAATTGGAGATAGTAGTCTCATGGATTTTCTTGCCTCAGCTGACTTCAGGCCTCAATCTTCAGATTTCTTCCTTCCAAATAGGATTATAGGTGTGAGCCACCAGCACTGGCTAACCTTTCATTCTTTTTTTTTTGGGGGGGGGTGGGTCATGGGCCTGAACTCTGGACCTGGGCCCCATCCCTCAGCTACCACTTGAGCCACGGCGCCATTTCTGGCTTTTTTCTGCTTATGTGGTGCTGAGGAATTGAACCCAGGGCCTCACGCATGCGAGGCAAGCACTCTACCACCGAGCCACCTTCCCAGCCCCTATTCTTTCAAGTCATAACTCTCTTCACTAGCCTCTTCTTTTTTTGTTTGGTTGTTGGTCGGGGGGCCTGAACTCTGGGCCTGGGTGCTGTCCCTGCGCTCTTCAGCTCAAGGCCAGCGCTCTACCACTTGAGCCACAGCGCCACTTCCTTCACTAGCCTCTTTTGACTTTTTTTTTGGCCAGCCGGGGGCCTG